GAAAGAAAAGAATGGAAAGAAATAATCATATAGTTGAACACTGTTGATGCAACTGTCCTCAAAATACTTTTATGAACTTAGTCAAACCTGAAAAACACAATTTAAGAATTATTTAGTCTTTAGACATAGCACTTTAAATAAATGCCTTTTGTAATCTAAATAACTAAATAAAATGATTGATTTCTCACAGTCTGCAGTGTGAGGAGTCCAAGATCAAGGCCCTGGCATAAGAAGTGCCCCGTGAGGACTCCATCCAGTTTCCAAGACAACTCCTGGCTGCTGTGACCTCCAGAGAAGACAAAGCCTATGTGTCTTAGTCACTTTCTAGTCATTGGGACAAAGTACCCCAAGCCCACAGTTTAAAGATTTAATTCTGTTCACAGTTCACGTGATGGTCCATAGTCAGTGGCTCCCAGGATGGTACATCATAGCAGAAGAATTTAGCAGAGGACAGCCAGGAAGCATCCAGGAAGGGAGAAGTAGCCGCCAAGTCACATACCCAGCGATCTTCCGTTTCCAGCTCCTAACAGTACATCCAGCTATAAACTCAACCCTGGATAGATCCACTCATGAGTACAGTGGCCCATGATCCAGTCCTCATTTGAAAGCCCCACATCTGAATACAGGAGTCTTTTGTGGAATAATCTAGCTCTGAACTAGAGCACTGTGTCCTTGTACAACAGAAATGATAGGAAATCTCTCTCGTTGATCCATTCATAACGGTAGAGATCTCCTGACCCAGTCACCCCCGAAGTCTTACACTTACCACTGCCACACAGGAGATTACGTCCCATGAACTTTGGAGGCGTACACATACTCAACCTACAGTATTCTTAGGGTGTCCTACGTGCACACCGCCTCTCTCCTGTATGCACCCTTCCCCCTCCAGGACAGCATGACTTCCCTTCTCCATCTGCAGATCCCTCCTACGATCTCCCTGTTCTGACTTGCCTTCACAGTCCTCACTTCAGAAAACCAGCGCTGCAGTCACAACTTAGAAAGATGAGTCCCCTCCTGTAGATGAACTGGGACTCCAGTGACCTGGTTGTGGATGAAAGGCTTCTGCCTTCCACCAAGAGGAGAGGCCTGGAGCTTAGGAAGGAAATAGTAGCATTGCTTTGGGGTCACTAGGTTTCTTTGTACCTCAATTTTCCCATCTGCAAAATGGGGGTGATGGTAATTCTAGCTTCATAGTGGCCTCGCACCTCCAAGGCACAGGGAACCATACCTGGACCAGTGGAATTGCAGAACACTGCTGTGCTGTGATCATGGACTCAGGTAGCTGCCTGAGGTGGGGAGGCTCCATGTCCCTTGGAGATAGACAACGTTCTTATCTTATTCTTGGTTTCACAGGGAAAGTTTTCAGTTTCCCTCCCATTTGGTATAATGTTGGCAGTTGATTTGTCATAGACGACTTTCTTAGATTGAGATAAGGCCTTTATATACATATTTTCTTCAGTGTTTTATCATTAATTGGATTTTGTCAAAGGACTTTTTTGCATCTATTGAGATGATCGTGTGATTTTTGTTTTTGCTTCTGTTGATGTGATGCGTTACATTTATTGATTTGCTTATGTTGAACTATCCTTGCATCTCTAGAATGAGGCCTACTTGGCAATGATGTAAGATCTTTTTGATGATTTGTTGCACTCTGTTTGCTAGTATCTTGTTAAGCATTTTTGTATCTATGCTTCTTAAAGAGATTGACCTATAGTTCTTTTTTTCAGTTGGATCTTTGTCTGGCTTTGGAATTTGAGTAACGGTAACTTCAAAAAATGATTTTCAAAGGCTCCTCTTCTTTTAATTTCATTAAATAGTTCAAGGAATACTGATCTTAGATCTTCCCTAAAGTTTTTATAGAATTCAATGGCTAATCCATCCAGACTTGGGCTCTTTTAGTTGGAAGATATTTTGATTACGGCTTCAATTTCATTGCCTGGTATTTTTTTATTCAGGGCTTTTACATCTTCTTGGCTTGGTACTGGTTATTCATACATACCTAAGAATCTACATATTTCTTCTAATTTTCCAATTTATTGGTATACAGGTTTGCAAAGTAGTTGCTAATAATCTGAATTTCAGCAGTTTCCACTATGATTTCACCTTTTTCATTTCTAGTGGCATTGATTTGTCTCTTTTCTCTCTTTTTTTTGGTAAGATTGTACAAGAGTTTGTCTATTTGCTTATTGTTTCAAAAAACCATCTTTGATCCAGTGAGTCTTTGTCTTGTATCTTCATTGATTTTTGCTCTGAACTTTCTTTCCTTGTACTAGCTTTAGGTTTGGATTGTTTTTGTTTTTCTAGGACCTTAAAGTAGATCATAGGTTATTTATTTGAACTCACCCTGTATTGTGATGTGGGCATTCATAGCTATAAACTTCCCTACTAGGACCACTTTAATAGTATCCCTTTAGTTCTGGTATATTTTATCAGCATTATTGTTAAGTTCTAGAAGCTATATAATGTCTTTCTTGATTTCTTCTTCAGATTATTTAAGAATGTATTGTTTAAATTTCCATGCTTTTGCTTAATTTCCATTTTTTCTTTTGCTATTGATTTCTAGTTTCATGGTACTGATAGATAATATGTATGGTGAAATTGTATTTGTTTTGCATTTATTTAAGCATGTTTTATTGGCTATTACATTGTCTATTTTAGAGAAAGTTCTATGAGCTTCTGAGAAGAATGTGCATTCTACTGTTTGGTGGCATATTCTGAACATACCTACTAAGTTTATTTGTTTGAAGATTTTATTCTACTCTGACATTTTTTGTTGCTATTTTGTCTGGTTGATCTTTATATTTTTGACAATGGAGTACTGAGGTACCCCAGTACAACTCTATTTATGTTTATCTGATCTTTTATATCCAGTAGTATTTGTTGAAGTTTGGTACACTGTTGCTCAGTGCATATATGTTAATTATTGTTATTTCTTCCTGTTGCATTGTTCTCTTAACCAATATATAGGAACCTTCTTTGCCTCTTCCTAAAAGTCTTGATTTGAAGTCCACTTTACCTGAAAATAAGATATGTTTATCTGATTTTAATTGAATTCCCATTGTATTAATATTTTTCCCATCCTTTGATTTTAAGTTTATGAATTTGTTTTTTTATTAAATGTGTTTCTTTTATACAAATAACAACTGGATTTTGTTTTTTGATGTAGTCTGGAAATCTGTGTTTTTTGATTGAGGAATCAAGACTGCTCACACTGAGAGTTATTGTTGATAGGTATTGAGTTATTCCTGTCACTGATTTATTTTCTTGTTGTCAAGTTCCTTTCTTTCACTTCTACTTAATTTATCCTACCTAATGTAGTCATCCTTTTAGTCTTATTTTCCCTGAGTCTCACTGTCTCTTTCTGGGATATTCTGGAGGGCTGGTTTGGTGGTCATAAGTTTTTTAGGTGCTCTTTATCATGAAAATATCTTATTTCCACTGATGTTAAAAGACAGTTTTTCAAGATACATCAGTCTAGGTTAGGAATTGTTTTCTGGGGGGTCTTGAAACACTTTACTCCAAACTCTCCTGGTCTTTAAGGCTTGTGTTGAGAAGCCTGCTATAATTCCAATCAATTTGCCTTTATAAGTGATTCATTGCTTCTCTCTAACAGCTTTTAAAATTCTGTCTTTTTGTTGGACTTCTAGGATGTGGCATATGACTATGATGTGTCATAGAGTGGTTCTTTTCTGATCACGGCTATTTGAGGTTCTATAGGCCTCACTTCTCTGTATGTTAAACACTTTCCCTAATTTTGAAAGTTTTCAATAAAGAAGTTTTTATGACATTTGTGTTGTCTTCTGGCTTTTCATTAATTTCACTTAATCATAGATTAGCCTTTATTGTGTCATCTAGCAGCTTTTGGATCCATTTTTCATGTTCTCTTGTTTTTAAGTTACTGCTCATTAATGGTCACTAATAGTCAAGGCTTTTACTTCTGATCGTCCTCACATTGGTCACTTCTGCTGCCCAACCTTTGATAGAACTTTTAATCTCTTGAATTTCTATTTAGAGCCCTTTTATGGATTCTAATTCTTTTCTATACTGGTCATTCATGTTTTGTATTATTTTGTTTAGCTCAGTTAGCTTTTTATTAGTGTCTTCTGTAGACTCGCTGCTCATCTTGTTTATTAGGCCTGTTATGTGTTTAATTACATCTTTTGTGAGCTGGCTGAGCTCCTTATTCTTCTGTTTTCTTAATATCATTTGTTGACTTTCAAATAATTTAGCTCTGTGGCTTTTGTTTTCCTCCCCTTTGATACTTTATGGATTAGCTTTGGGGAATTTAGATTTGGAGGCAATTTGTTGCCTTGTCACATTTTTATTTTTTATTTGTTTGGGTTTTTTTGTGCTGAAGCTTGAAAGTTGATTATAGTAAAAAAGTTTATTACTAATATGGAGACCACTTAGTTAATGTCTGCTTTTCAGCAGTGCCTCTGAGTGTGGCTACTGGCCTTTGCCTCTGTTCTAGAATCCAAGCACCTTCGGTTTGCTCGGGTGGGGGAGTGGCAATGATTTTTCCCACTACTCAGTTCTTTCAGAATGGGCTGCATTATTGTTAGTGATCCCAAAGCAATTCGGATATTGACATTACAAGAAAATCAATTAATAGCAACAGTTATGTCACCTTGGCTATGATAATAATATAAGCAATAATAATGGTGTCAAAGATCAACTGGATATTGACAAACCCTAAGAAGCAATAATGTACCACCCTTAACGTAGAAAAGCAATCTATAATTACATTATAAACACTAACTGTAACCAAATACAGAATACAATAAACACCTACTAAATGGAACAATTTTATCTGCATTAATAATGAACAGTATTCAACAGTAATAACATATTTAATTAGGAATCTAAGTTTCATAAAACTTAATAACCATACTAATGAAGAGAGGGGTTGGGGAAGTAGAGGATGAATAAAGTACCTCTAAGATAACAACATATAATATATCAACTAGAGAGGGTTTCTTAATTTCTTTAAAATTATGTATCACTTCTACCCTTTTTTGTTTGCTTTTTAAAAATAAAATACCCAAAAGTTATTTTAGATGAAAGATTTGAGATATAATATATGGATAAATCTAAATGGTTTAAATATATAAGGTGAAAATTTTAAAAATCCTACCCTAAAAAAATAAAAAATTAAAATTTGAAATATTGATCAATGGAAGACAAAAAGAGGGAGTCAGTAGTGAGATGGCCTATTGAAGAGTGAAATGGACTTAATAGCATTAGAAAACAGTTTCAAAAAAGGACACACAAGGACAAGAAGGAAAAAACCCAAAGAGAGCAAAATACAAGAAATAAAGGAAAGATAAAGAAAAAAAAGAGTTAAAATGAGGAAAAAGATACAAAAGAAGGAAAAGGAAAAAAGGGAGGAAAAGCATAGATCTCAACAAGTTGATGAAAGAAAGTGAGAAATATTAATAATTTGTAATTTTTTAAAATTTTGACAGTTGAGTCCAAACTGGGAGTGGTAGTGCCCGCCTATAATTCTAGCATTTGGAGGCTGAGGCAGGAGGATTGTCATGAGTTCAAGGCCAGCCTGGGCTACACAAAAGAGTTCAAAGTCAGCCTATACTGTACAGTAAAACCCTGTCTCAAAAAAAAAATTTGAGTCAAAAATATTCCTCTTAATTTTTGAATGAATAGCTTCTTTCCAGGATCCACAATCTTGGAATTCAACCAGTCATGAATTTCTCCACCTACCTTTTAGGCCTGCAAGTTTGTGAGATGCCTTCTCTACACTAGAGGTACCTCTGTCCATTCACCCCAGACGGTGGTAGCTGTCTAAGCTGAAGTGTGTCCTTTCTCAGACTGGTAAACGGGAAAAACAATCATCCCTGTAGTCTCTGCTAGATGCAGGCTTTTGGACACTGGGAGGGAAACACTGGAATCCCTGAAGCTGCTGGCCAGGCCCATGCTTTCCCCTGGATCTGAGCTCCTCCGGGCCCACCTCTTTTCCCTGGGCACCATCCTGGGATCAGGTTGGTTGGTTCGTCCACACCTCTGCTGCCCCCTGCCAAGAGGAAACAAACATAGTGACAGCTTGGAATGGTCTGTGTCACCCTGACAGACAATTTTGTTTTTAATTTTGGTGCACTCACTGTACTGTTTTTCACAGAGGCTGCATCATTTATATCTTCCCTTTAATAACTCCTTTATTATAAGAAGATAAATTATTTATTGTTGAAGCCAGTTGAATCACGGTTGTCAGTTTCTTGCTCCCTGAAGCATCCTAATTAATACAGATATGAAGAGGCACTTTTATAGGTGAAATGTGACTGACCAATAAACATATGAAAATGTTAATTAGCCTGAGTAGTTAAATAGGGGACTGCAAATTGCAATAACAGTGACAAAGCTTCTGCCCATGAAATTGGTACTACCATCTGGATCTGTAGTGTCTCCAAAGCCCATGTGGGGACGGTTTGCCCCAGTCTGTGGTGCTACTGGGAGGTAGTAAAATCCTTGAGAGTTGGAACCCCCTGGGGGGGGTGTCCTTGAAGGAGATCATGGGAGTCCCCTACACCCTTCCTCACTGTTTTTCTTCCTGGCCACAAGGTGAGCAATTTTGCTCCACCACATGCTCCCATCACGATTCGTTGTCTCTCCACAGGCCCAAAGCAACGTAAGCAGATGACTATGGACCGGACCCTCCAGAACCTTTCTGTCTTTAGAAATCAATCATATGACAATCGCTGAGAGAAAAAAGACTGATAACATATCATGTTGGGGAAGCCATGTACCCTTGTTGTGGGAAAAGTGTTCACTAGAGCAGAATCTGAATTTATTTTTTGTTACTGGAGATCAAACCTTGGAAGCTCTGGGCAACATCGCCAGCCATTTCTTTTATTTTTTATTTTGAGACAGCATCTCACTAAGTCACCAGATTGCCCAGGGTAGGCTTGAACCTGCAAGCCCTGTGCCTCAGTTTCCTAATTAGTGGATAAGACAGGGATATACCACCATGCATAGCTTGAAATTATTTTATGTAGCCTGTTACCATATTGTATGATTTAAGAGCTACAAGCTGCTCACAATGTTCAAAATCCATTAAGCACATTCACATTGTTGAACCTTAAAGGAGTCTCAGACATAGTCACACTTCTAGGCCAGTAAGGAGCCACAGCAGCTCCAGAAGGCTGAAGCTGCCCACACTATTTCCCAGTGGTCCTGAAGGCTGAAAGCAGAACTGTCTCACAGGTCTCAAGGGCCTTGTCACACCTGTGCAATGCCAGTCACTGGTCCTCTCCCATTTACTTGTTCCTACCTGTGTTACCTGCAGACCCAGCTGCCCGAAAAGACCCCGAGGTTCCAGACCTTGACCCTGTAGAAGCCCTGTCCTTACTCACTCACAGCTGGTTATGTGGCTGGGGACCGCTTTCTGGCCCTGCTGTTCATTTGCCTAGGTCCTGATGCTCTGTATAAATCACTCCTTCCTCTCATTAGCCCTGGACAACTCAGGGAGGCTCTGACCCCAGAAAGCTGCTGATGGCAGGAGCCTTGCCAGTGTCTTCTCCACCACTGAGTACACACACCCTGTCCTGGCCTAACTGAGTCCCTACACTCCCAATCAGAAGCTTGGGGGTCCTGGCCCTGGGTGATTCCTGAGTCCTGCTGCTGCCTATGCTTCTCTTGGCCACTCCAGTCATGGAACTACCCGCCCTGCCACTTATCCTTCCATCTGCTGGCTTGGGGAACATCCCAGCCTTCTGAGCTTTGACCTCATCTGTAACCTGTGGGTGATGGAGGCTCCCTCACAGTGAAGAAGTAGAGATGGGAAGAGAATAAGCTAGGAAAGGCTGCAACCAAGTCACAGAATGAACTATTGGGGAGACCACAGATGGGTGTGTTTTTTTTGTTGTTGTTGTTTAATTGGAACTAGGAATTGAACCTGGGGCCTTCACACTGAACTACACCCTTAGCCTTTTTTATTTTTTTCAATTTTGAGACAGGGTCTTCCTATATTGAACAGGCTGGGCTTGAACTTCAATCCTCCTGCCTTGGCCTCCTAGATTTTTGGGATTAAGGTATCTGCCACCATGCCAGGCTCAGGAAAGGAATATTTTGACTCATTCTAGGCTCCCTGGACTTGAGGAAAGGGAAGAATGAGCTGAATTTTCAATACTATTTTACTAACTTGCTATGTGATTTAAAAAAAATCCTTCCAACTAGGAGTGGTGGTGCATACCTGTAATCCCAGCACTCAAGAGACTGAGGCAGGAGGTTCGCCACAAGTTTGAGGCCAGTCTGGCTACATAGCAAGACCTTGTCTCAAACACTCCTCCCCAATCCCTCCAAACTTAGTGTCATAAAAACAATTCATGGATCTGTGAGCAGGAACTTGGACAAAGCCAAGGAGATGCACTTGCCTCTGCTCCAATGGCCCGGGACATGGCTGGCCCAGGAAGTGAGTGGGAGACCTAGCAGCTAGAACACGGGTCAGGAGAGGAAGGGAAGGGCTCAGCCTTCCAGCCTCTTGTCATGGGCCAGGTCTTGCCGTCCATCATTTCACCTCCCCTAAACACACACCTCGCGTTTCCCACCTCCTTTTGGCCTTCTCAGGCCGGACTGCTTGTTTGGGTCCAATCCTGTGTACTCAAGCTCACAGCAGGGCCTTGGATGTTGTCTGTGGGGCTCATGGAAATGTGGGGTTAACTGACCATGCTGGAGAGAAGCACATTTCTGTCAAGGAACCCAAACTCCAGGTTTCTGTGGACACAGCCTCTCCATGAGAAGAGAATGAAGGAGCCTGAATGAGATGTTCTGCTTAGAGGATACAAAAAAAAGCTCCCTGCTGGGGGCCAAGATGCCTGCTACACAAACAGGAGGTAAGCAAGCAGGCACTCTGGGAGGCTGAGGCAGGAGGATCATAGGTTCAAACCAGACTGGGCAATTTAGTGACTTAGTGATACCCTGCCTCAAAATAAACAATGCAAAGGCCTGGGGTGCAGCTTGGTGGAAAGGCCCTGGCTTCCATCCCCAGACTGAAAAAAACAAAAAAGCAAACAAAACCCCAGGAGGTGTGAACCCCCATTTTGCTCTGCTCAGGGCCTCTGCTTAGCATTTGCTCATTGCTTTCCTGTTCCCCTTGGTGGAGATGGGGCCATTAGGGAAGACGTTCAACCCTCTCCAATGAAGCCCAGCCCGGGCTCCCGGGCACCTGCCGAGCCTGCGGTGGGAAATGTAGAACACAGACACTACTAATGCAGTGAGGAGCGTTGCGGGTGGGAACTTACCATGGGTGTTTAGAATTAATTTAGCACCTTGTCTGCTTGAGGACATATGCTCTGTGTCTAGAATTCTGACATCGTCAACACCATCTGTGCCTGCTGGATGTGGCCGGGGAGGGCCGCGGTGGCCATGGACAGACACAGGCGGCCGGTGGCGGTGATGATCACACCTCCCTCTGCGTGCGAACGCCGCCAATGTGTGTGGAATCCCAGACTCCGAGAGCGGTGAGCATATGGTGCATGTCTTATTTCTTGGCACTGAGCATGGAGAATAAGTGGTGCAGGGTGACTGGGACGGGCGGAATGTGAGCAGCGCTGTCTTCGCTGTCTTGACCTTGCACGCTGCTGCTCCTCAGGGCATTCAGACGTCTTTTATCATCGAGAGACCAACACCTGCAGTGGGGACATTGGAATTGGACCGTCACCCACCTGTGCAGTAAGTGGCACCTCCCAATAATTTCACTTGAAACATAACCAGGGCCAGGCATGGTGGCACACTCCTGTGACCCTAGCACTCTGGGAGGCTGAGGCAGGAGGAGGATCATAAGTTCAGACCCAATTTGGGGCAACTTAGCAACAATACTCTGTTCCTATAATACCCTGCAAAAAATACAAAGTTCTGGGGATATAGCTCAGTGTGAAGCATCTCTGTGTGAATTCCATCCCCAGTAACACACACACACACACACACACACACACACACACACACAGAATTACATCTAGCAACACAGAGCTAAAAAGTCCCCCTCGAGCAGAGACTCTGAGACCCACAGCCCTTAGAAGGAAGGAAGGAGACATAGCTGCAGCAGGTGCAGGATCACAGCCACGTTCGTCGATGCCATTCAGTCAAGGAAGCAGGCGCCTGATGTGAGATGTCCTCATGGTTTCCAGGCAGCCCCAAGACCTTTCTGGGCATTCACTGTGAAGACCAGACCTAGCTTCATGTGTGCACCCTACAAAGGTTTGCTGAGACTTCTTTTTAAAAGTAGCTACACTAGAGAGAATAAAAGAGGTCCAGACGCCAGCACCCTGGGCACCCTAGGCTAACCAGGGTGCACAAACCAGCTATCATATCAAAAACCGACAGGAAACTCATGAAGAACACTGCAAGCTGGTTCTGGTGATGCAGATCTGTAACGCCAGCACTCTGAGAGGCTGAGGCAAGAGGATGGAAAGTTTGAGCCCACCATGGACAACTTAATGATTTAGTGAGACCCCGTCTCAAATAAAAATAGTACGGTCTGGGGATGTAGCTCAGTGCGGAGGCCCTGGGTTTAATTCCCAGTACCAAACAAAACTTCAATTCATAAATTCTTACTCTGCCTCTTATTTCTATTCCATTTTGGACCCCAGGAGACATCATAAGCCATAGTCAGGCAACCCAGGAGTGCATGCTCATCTAACACCAAGAGCCTGTAACCTGCAGACAAGCTTCTTAAAACAGCCTGCATTGGTTTCCCTTCGGTCCATAGGGAGAGTCAAGGAGCCCTCTTCTCTGCCTGATGTTGACCTGAGATGAGGTTACAGATTCCAGGCCACCCATGCTTGCTGCAGGGTAGGGTCAAGCTCCCAGCCCACACAGAGGTCTGCAGCTCTGGAGGGGACATAGGATGAGGTGATTCTGGAAGGTCATGGAGCTGAGTGTTGAGCTGAACAGAGGCACCCGGTGTGAGGTGTCCTCATCATGGAACATCACCCTCAGCCACCCTGACTCTCCACGCTGCAGCTGGTAACTTGAAATAAATTGGGTTTTTCCTTTCTGTTTCACTTAACAATCACCAAACTTACCTTCAGATTTTGCAAACTGACAATTAGCTCATGAACCAAGAATAACCTCACCAACAGCAGAACAAAAAAATTTTTTTAAAGATTAGGTTTTTTCAACTTGTTATTTGCAGATTTGTGGTCCAGAAGGCTTATATTCATCTTGGGGGGACAGGTACATGCACTTAACATACTATAATTCTTTGTATTCTCCTGTCTTTCCTTTTGCTCTTTCTGTATTCCCTCCCCCATTTGATAAAGACCTATTTCCCTGTTTCCTATTATATTGTAGTTTTAAAAATTATTTATACTTTTGTTTTCTCATGTGAGCTATGTGATATTTAAGCTTGTGTATTTGATTTATTTCACTTAACAGGCTCTCAGGTTTATCCATCTTCCTATAAAAAACTCAAAGTTGTCCTTCTTTATGACAGAGTAGTACTCCATTGGGTATAGCTGTTCCCCTTCTTGGTCTCTTCCCAGAAGAGTTAAAGACATCAAACCACAGTGATACATACATACCCACACTCTTAGCAGCATGACTCAGAATAGCTAAAGTCTGTAAGTAGTATATACATCCATCAACAGATGAACAGGTAAAGAAAATGTGGTATTTAAACTCAGGAAGCTGCATTTTAAAAAATCAAGCATAACTATTGCTTACAGAGAGTGAACATTTCAGGATGGAGGAGGGATTGTAGTGAAAGCCAGCGTCCTCCTTCTCCTGACCTGCTCCTCTGTGGGTGAGCAGAGACCCTGGCCATTGCCCTGTCCTTCAGAAGCAATGTCCACACCCAGGAGCATGCTGTCACCTGTATCTTACATGCGCATGCACACACACACACACACACACACACACACACACACACACACACAGAGTCCAACCTCATTTTTGGAGGGTTCTGTACTTGGGAACCCAGCTGCATAGACATTTACTGATTACCACAGAATCGGCACCCAGGGGGCTCTGGGATCAATCTGGAACACGGACGGAGCAGCCGCAGACTTCCTCACTCTGTCTGTTGGTCTCCCTGACGTCCCACAGCACAGTGCTCTCCGCTCCGGGCTCAGTTCCACACTGTGAATGAGCGTGGGGTCCACGCTCCACTCAGCGTTGCATTCTTGCTTGTGTGCATGCTGTGGGTGAGTGTGGCCATCACAAGGTCCCCGGGCTCAGTGCTGAGTGCTGTCTATTGTTCCTGAGCCAAGGAGGCTGTCACATGCCCCAGGGACAAAACACGCGTGCTGAGTAAGCTTCTTTCAGCCCTGAACCCCTACTGTCAGCTGGGAATTAAATGTGAAGGAAACAACAACATAAGAAGGAAGGTGTCAATTGCAGAGAAGCACACACCAAAAAGATATATAGCAATAAATAGGTATGACTACAGGCTGGCAAGAACCTAACCTTGTAATTCCCCAGTAATAATCAGTGGTTCGGTATTTGCTGATTTGGTGTTCATGGTTTGTAAAACAAAGCTACCTTGAATAACAAAAATAAATCGTATAGAATTTTCTTAATTTCAAAATGACTAACACCCCACACTCTAACATCTTGATTTTTTTTTCACACAGCAATTATTGTTTCACACTGGCACGCAAAGGACTTTTTCGTGACTGCAAAAGTACCATTATTGTTAGGGTTTTGTTATGGATTAAGAACTGGTGGTCAACTTAATGCCAGCTAGATTACATCAGCATGGCACTGAGTGAAGATGCTCCACCTGAGGAAAGTTGCCAGCGTAAATAGATGGAGAAGATGAAGGAGGGTGTTGAGACATTAAGGTGTTGATGCATTGTTGCACTGAAGCACTGTGGATTCTCCTATGAGTTGCTGTTTGAGCTGTCGGTTCTCCTGGAGAAGCCTTGGTCCTCACGTTGAGCATTGCTTCCTGGCTCTGGAGGGGAGGACATGTGCCACTTGGTCTCCAGGATGAACTTGTCACGCTGGCTTCCTGGCATGTACCTGACTGTGCTTGTCATCGGAGGAGCTCAGGGTCTCCATGTCACTGAGGATGACTGTGGTGCTCTGGTCTGTGTTGTGTGTGACTTCTCGGCTCCAGCGTAGAACCCTCATCCCACCAGCACATTTCCTTCATCCCACTACATCGGACATTCTGGCTTCCACCACTGACGTCTGGGTCTTCCCGGCACGGATCCATAAAAGAGACTGGCGTGAGCCCTTCTTGTGAGCTCTGGACCCCCAGTTGGACTCATGGGAGGCATTGTCATGAGCTCTCGGTTTTTATCTGGACTCATGTGGGACATTGCTGTGGGATTTAGGCCCTTGGCTAAATATTCTATGTCTTTGGTGTTGCGGATAGATTTCCTGCATTTTCTTGTGTTAACTCCCAGTGACCATTATAAAAATAATATTATAAACTCCATATCCTGATTCTAATTGTTGCCTGCACAACTCCTGACTACAACAGGTACATGCTTGCTTTCATCCGTCACTAACTTCTACAATGCTAAAAAGACCACAGAGTGCATATTACTTCCAAGGCCCTGTGTAACACATTCATCAGATAAATCTTGGTGAAGGACAGCTAGAAGGAAAAGACAAGGGCACTTGACACTGGGTGGGTCTCACCAAATCACCACCATGAGGCAGGGACCTCAAACTAAAGACTGGCAACTCCCCAGACAGAGGCAGCCTTTTTTGCCCAGGGCTGCCATAGCACACAAAACTGTATCTCTCCCAGAGCTGCAAAGGCCCAAGGTCAAGGTGTCAGCAGGGCTGGCTCTTTCCTGAGTCTCAGAGGGAGAAATCTTTCCTGGTCTCTCTCCAGGAGAGAGGAGGCTGTCAGGCAGCTCTTTGTGCTCTATGACTTTCAAACGCCTCACTCAGTCTCCGCTCATCTTCACATGGAGCTCGCTGTGTGACCTGTGGGTGTGCGTTTCCCTCCTCCCACAAGGACCCCAGCACTCCGCAGCAGGGCCCATCCCAAGCCAGCACGAGTGCTTCTTCCCTTGGGCCACCTGCAAAGACCCTGTTTCAATCTCACCTTCACAGGAACGGGCACAGGGCTTCCAGCTACCTTCCAAGGGGACACACTCCAAGCCGCCTCGGAGATACTATCGGATGCTGGCCTCTGCCCCTTGGAGAGACCACGAGTTCTTTTTATAGCCCAGTGGAGTGAGGTTAATGGTGGAGTTCACACCATGAGTTAGCTGTTCCCATCTAACCTCACTGACTGCCCTGAGCCAGTGCTGATCCCTGAAGTCACGTGGGAATGCTGATCGGAGGTCCCCAAGGCTCTCTCACTGGCAGGGCAGGGTGTCAGGGAGGTGGCAGAGGCAGGGTAGAGTGGGGCTATCATAAGAGATCCCACATTTCCCAAGCTTCCCAAGAGGCTCTGATGCCTCCCAGGACTGGTACGCTCGGCCACGTTTCACTGGAGATTAGAGTCCAAGCAAGAATTATGTCAGGTGAACATTACACTGGGAAAGGAGCTTAGAAGTAAAGCAAACAAGTCATCTCTTTTCTTTGTCTGCATTTGGGCCAAGGTTTCTCGAGGCAAGAGTACTGAGTTCTCAGCGCAGCTCTCAGTGTGACTCTGGGGAGTGCAGATCCTCTGCATTTGCACCTACACCCTGTTCCTCCAGCCATCACCAGCCCCCCAACAGGGGGCCCCACAGAGGACCCCACGGGGTTGCCCAGAGCTGTATGCACAATTGCAGGGGCTCACACCTCCTTTCCCTGACTCAAGCCTCTATCTTCCCTGCAGCAGAAACTTGTAAGTGAACAAATCTGAAAATAAGATTCCAGGAACACAACATTCCCTCCCTGAGGTCTGTCAGCAAGATGAATGACCAGAGGCAACAGGGACCCCCAGGGACATAAGATGCCTGTGGTACTCTCCGCAGCTCCTCTGGCCACTTTTATGTTCCCATCAGTGGGGCAAAGGGGATCCTCTGCAGTCAGCTGCCAACGGATGAGGCTCATGTCCTCAGCTGTTACCACCAGGAAATTGAAGGACCGCAATTGGACTTCCAGGAGCAACCTGCATCTACCCTAGTGCTGTCCAGAAAGATGCTCACTGACTTATAGAAGTGCAAGGAAACACTCACCCGTTCTCAGCCTCCAACAGCCACACAGAGAGCCCCTGGGTCAGATCGATCAAATGCATAGTGGACAGGGAGAGGTGCTCTGGGGAATTCCTGTCTGCTTTTCCAGTTCTCCCAGATCCTAAGTGACCCCTCTTCTACCCCATTTAAGTGGCATTTAAAGACTGGCCTTTATGAGGGAGGAAGTAGAGTCAGGGTGGGGGTGGACAGGTTCCCCAGGAAGTGTCAGCTGAAGTGGATCAAAAAAAAAAAAAAAGTGTTGAGCACAGTCCCTGATTTATTGACCCACTTCTTAAAGTCAGTTTCCCACCAGGGAGCAGGAGGAGCTGAGAGAAAGGAAGCCACAAAGATCTTGAGAAACAAAGTGTCACCTGTGAACACATTGCTTGCTCCCTGATAAGAAGTAGAGTCGCTCCTGGATGTTTACAGTTAATCAGACATGCCAAACACACTCAGGGCTCACAGCCAGGCTGGGCATGATGGTGCATGCCTGTAATCCCAGTTCTGTGGAAGGCTGAGGCAGGAGGATCAACTTTGAACCTAAGCTGGGTAACTTAGTGACTTAGCAAAGTATTGCCTGAATTTTAAAAAAAGAAATTATAATACAAAAAAAAAGGACTAGGGATATATCTCAGTGCAAAGGCCTTGGATTAATCCCTAGTACTAAAAAAAGAAAGAAGAAAAATAAAACCAGAGTTATTACTGGTTACAATTTTGTGTCCTCTTATATTCTAAGAGAATTATTTTTCATTGCAGGCCTTGATGGTTGTTTCTGACAAAGGTATCCTACACTTTGCGGAGCCCTGTGGGGTAAGGAGTTTCTGGGGTTGTATCTGGGGGACACAGCAGGATTCTGATACAGGCATGTCAGTGGCTTCACTGTGACCTCCTGCCTCAAAACTAGGGTGTCTAAAAGTGAGGGTGAAGCTAAGCTGTCATTTTGATTGACTTGAGAGCTGCCCAGGGGATCAGTAAAGTACACGTCTGGGTGAGACACGAAAGCATGATCTTGGGTCTCTACCTGGTCCCAGGCCCCTTCCTCTGTAATGTCCCTCTGACTTTGTAGCTATATTTGAGCTATATGAAGAGCTCAAATCAGATGATCTTGGAGTCCTAGCATGTTTCCCAACTTTCCTGTCGCTGCAACAGAACCCCTGGCACTCACAGCCTACAGGAGGAGAGGTTTATTTGACTCATGGTTTATGGGAGTCAGTCCATGGTTAGCCAAGTCAAAGGCAGCATGATGGAATGTTGTGCCGGGGCAAAGCTGCTTAGTCCTTGGTGATAGGAAGCAGAGCAGGAGAATAGGCTGGCTAACCGTGAACAGACTCCCATAAATATTACAGAGAGGACACTAAACTCAATACTGTTTTTTTAGGAAACATAGGTTAAGTATGGAATATTTTACATGGAGAATCTCAGAGTAACAGTAAGTTCAGTTAGTTGAGGAAGGCTTAATCCTCCTCTAGAAAAGTGTGCTTTCTACAGATACCAAGAGATTTTAGATGTTTGTTCGTTTGCTATTTTATTTTAGTTTATTTGAAGTCTTTTCAGGCACAGAGAGACATTCACTTTTAGATTAGCTTAAAATGCTCAGATTTAAAGGAATTTTTAAAATGTGCCTGCATTGTCCTTTCTTTGGATCACTCTGATCACATGGAGTGTGGAACACCAAATAATCGGGCAACACAGAGCACCCCAAGAGGAATGAGAAACTTTCCTCCCATCCTGCAGAACCCAGCACCTAGAAGGCCCACAGTAAACATCCAGATGATCGGAACAGATAACCAAGAGGGTTCCAGGAGAGGGGCATCTGTGAGTCCTGCTCAAAGTGTTTACAGTCCAGTAACTGGAAAAAGAAAGAGCCGGAGAGAAGGAAGGGTAGGAGCTAAGGTCAGAGCTGACCAGGCAAGCGGCCTGGTGAGCAGCCCACTCCCAACCCTATTTTCACGCTCACTCATCTCCTTCAGTCCCCCACGGAAAGCCACATCACTCCTAGCTCCTCACTCTCCCTGTGGCCATGCCCTTTGCCGTGTGCCTGCAGATCTCCCTGT